CTGGGGGGGGGCTGGCACAGCAGGCCTGGGGATTGAACTCCCAGCCCCTGTATCTGCATAAGCACACCAAACAGATTTAATGGACCTGCTGAATTACAATATTGATTCATCTCCTGAAGTCAAACCCAAAATGCAAGTAACTTTAAGCAGTGGTATGAGTCAGAAGTTTACTGTCCCAAGGGAGCAAGGAACAAAGAATAGAGCCTAAGAAACTGGCCCTCTTGGCAAGCTGGAGACAAGGTAACAGATTCCTGGAGGTGGTGCCCATCTATGCTTTGTTCCTTTACCTGGGAAGTTACCAGTTAGTTGATATGTAAACTTAGTTTGGTGAATGTCCACAGAGATGTAAATATCAGCTTGCTCACACCAGATTGATTATGCACACTCCTTAGCCTGTTTGCAGCCCTCAATAAATGAGAAGTTTCAGTGGCTTGGGGCTCACTTAGAGAAGGACTAAGCTCAGTGAGACCTCTGAAACTATAATAATCATCTCTTTCAGCTCCAACTTACAATATACAACAACTTTAGTCATGACAAACCATGAAGGGAGGATAGAGGAATGGGAGAAAAAGAAGACTCAAAATACATCATGTAAAGTAACAATTCCTCACAGTTAATATTGTCATTGTGTACGGCTAAAGCACACCCATAAATTTTAAAAACACACCAAAACATTGCCTTTCTTTCATCTAGCAGTTAGAACTAAACATGTAAAGCTGATATGAAGGCTTCACAGTATCAGAGAACAAGTTTCTTCCACCTTATAGTGCTATTCCTGAGATCTTGTTTTCTTTCATGCAATCCATTGGAAATGCCCTCTAGAAACATATTCCAGCTGACAGAGTACTCTTGCTGGTGCAGGCACTGGCTGCTGAGGACCCCACTTGCAGTTTCTGCAGAGGATGATCACTGCTTGCCAAGAACTGCCTTGACTGAAGGAGCTGGGCTTTATGCTGGGGTTTTCATTGAAGTGCAATTTGTCTCACTATCAACTTGGTTGGTGGATGTTGTTTCCAGAAGCTAAGAGAAGCCTAGAAGGAGGGGTCCACCTGCATGAGCTTCTCAGGGCGCCCTTGCCTTCACAGGTAAGATTACAAGCATACCTGCGACGTCACAGCACTACCACGGTATGAACTATTAATTGTGATTTTATTGTATTTGTTATATTAGACAATGAGTATTTAACAGGAAAAATCAAAAAAATAAAATATCACAGTTTTTAATCTTTTGGGTGTTTATAAAAAAGCATCAAAATTTTCAACATCAGCTGATTTTTTGGTGTACAAATTCTAAATGTTTGAACAGAAGTAAATTCCTAAATGAATTATGGTGAAAATACCAATAATACTTTACAAAAGTATATCTTTAGTTCAGCTCTCACACCTACAGAAGTCTTCACACATGACAACCACGCATCCCATATACATGTGTTGCTTACACTGACAGTTCACGTTTTGCCTTCCTGGTAGGACATACTTGACATCTCGCTGGTCTTGCAGTTTTATCTGCAGATTCTTTAAATATTGTGAAATATGTAGTTATCATGAACATAAAATACCAATAAAATAAGGATTGATATATATTAAATTTCTAATACATATTGCACATTTAGGACAAACATCAATCAATATTTTCACATCAGTTGTGTACTTGCTTATAAAACCTAAAAATAGAACATCAGAAATAGAAATCTATGTGAGCTACAATGTAAACACAAACACACACAACAAAATAACTTTTTGCTTCGCTGTCACACTCACGGCAGTCCTCACACATAACCTCAGCATGTTCTGCGCACATGTATTGCTTACCCTGGCAGCGTATTTGCTTAGCTCTTCTTTCTGTGTGGCACGCCGTTCTTGTACCTGTGTTCTCTTCTTGCTTTATCAGGAGCCTCTTGGTATATTGTACAATGTGCACGTAGCAGGGAAATAAGATATCGATAAAACAAAAATTAAATATGTAACAAGTGCTTAGAACAGACAATATTTTCACATCAGGTGTTTACTGGCTTACAATACCTAAGAGGTAACATCAAAAGTAAAAAGCTATGTGAGCTACAGTGAAAGTACCAATAGAACTCTACAACAAAAGTAATCTGTGCTTCAACTGTCACTGTTCTATTGGTGTTTCCATCTTTATGGTTTTCCTGTTGTTGTGGTAGGTCTTTGGGATGTTACACCTGACTGCTCACCTGTCAGTTCACACATGTAGTCATCCTCAATTTTTCTGTTCAGTTCTCTGTGCAGACTTATTTTGTTTTTCCTCTGCTGGAAATGATCCTTTATGAATTCCAGACCCAATCGTCTAAGGAAATTCCTCTGTGGAACTTGCTACCTTCATTGTACACTCTCAAACTAGTTATGCCACACGTTTAAGATCAAGTAAAACACAACCATCGGCCAGTGTTTTGTGTTTCAAGTGGCATAAATATTCACTGCATAACTCATCATCAATATGTACTCTGCCTTTTGTTTCATTGTATAAATTTTCCACCACAGCCTTTCATTTTGTTGAGTTTTCCTTGTGGATAATTTCATCATGGTGCACTGTTAACATCAACAGTACCAGTTTCTTTTCTTTGCTATATATTAGACTAATGTAAATCTTTCTGAAATAAAAAGATTGTGCTGTACAATACTTAGTTTTTTATGTTAGAGAGGTTAAAAAAAAGCATTAGAAATGATACACTATCATATGAATTAAACAATGGTTGTTATATTGCATATTGTTGGCTTCCATGCATGCAACTAGAAATCATACTCATAAGTGAAATAAATCACATCCACGTGTCTAAGCATCATATTTTCTCCCTAGTGTAAGAACCTTAAAGAGTAAATAAAATCTGAAAAGCATAATAGGTATTGTGAAAGGGAAAATTTTTTTTTTCAAAAGGAAAGGACAACTGGGATGAAAGAGAAGAGAAAAAAAAAGAATGTAGTATCCAATTCTTTGTTTTGAAACTGCAACATTTCATTGGAAATTTCTTCTTGTTCTTCTGTATAGCTCCTGTGCTGCCCAACTTGTGCTGTGTTAGAAAATGTAACATCAGGGCTAGTGAGATAGCTCAGTGGACTAAGCACCTGCTTAGGTAAGCTCAGGGACTGGGGTTCAATCCCTGGCACCACATGCCATACTGACCACTGAGACCTGGAATGGTGGCACACACTTATAATCCCAGCACTGAGGAGGCTGACAGCAGTAGGATCACTATGAGTCTGAGCTGCGTAGTGAGAGCCTGTAACAAATACATAAAAATAAAATAAATAAAAACAAAAATGTAACATCAATTGGAAACTAGCAAACCAATTGTCAAATGTTACATTCTGATTAGTTTCAGAGATGGAAGTAAAAAATCTGTCCACAACATCATTTGTTTTATTGTTACTCAAATAAGGACCTCACAGCTGAGTTCCAGGACAAATTGCTTAACTGAAAACATAACAAGTTTTCACATCTACAAGAGAATAAATTTTTATGCTATATTTTGAACCATTGCTTTTCCATAAGTCTTTTACCTTCTTACAATTAACCATGAACTATGCTAAGTACAGTAGATCTATGAAGGCTTTCAGTTCAGTTAGTGAGGTGTCATAATAAATTCATTTTTAAATATGATTATTGGTGCATACAGAATGTTTTACTTGTATTCCATCCAGCGTTAATGTTTTTCGCAGCATCTTGTACTTTTGTCTGTTACAATTTCCAGCACTGACTGGAAATGCTGGCATCCTGGCCAATGTTTCACCCCTGCCAAGACCCACTGCATTTTCAGATCTAGTGCTAACATTGCAGTATGTTAGAACTAATTTTAATGTCATCATTCCATTTGATTGTATGACAATTTTGCAAGCCAGCCAGATAGCTCAGTGGACTAAAGTGCCTGCTTAGGCAGATTCAGGGACCAGGATTCAATTCTTGGAGTGCCGTGCCTCCCGCGCCCCCAGGGTGTGCTGAGACATGATTGAAACTGGGCATGGTGGTACGCACCTGTAATTCCAGCACTTGGGAGGCTGAAAACAGAACAATCACTATGAGTCTGATCCGTGTAGTGAGACCCTGTAGACCCCTGTGCTAAATACATTAAAAAAAGTAACTGAAAATGAATTTTAAAAATAATAAAAATAAATAAATAAAAATATAAAATAAAGCACTCCAGTTTGGGAGCTGGGGATAATGTGACACAATGCCTGCCTTGTAAGCAGAAGGTCCTGTGTTTGATTCCTGATACCAATAATATAAAATAAAATAAAATAAAATGCTCCATTTCATTCAAAAAATGTTTTGCAACATTTCAAATAGTCGAATATGTTCTAGCATTAGTGTTTTCCTCATGCTCTGAATTAAGGAGATCAGCACTTCCTGTATCACTATCACTCTGTTCTTGCTCTATTTCTCTGTCACAGGAACTTCGGCTCATATTCCCACACTACTCTTCCATTATTAAAGTGCGTATTTTATCATAATGGATCATCTGTCTCGTCCATGTGTGAGTAATCTGATGATTCATTTTTTATCTCCTCCTAAACTTGGAAATCTGGCGTTTCATGTGCCATTATACTGAATTGGGCTACTTCTGCCAGAAAAATGAAAACTTTTAAGAACAAAAATTCTAAAGTGGTGTGGCTGTGTTATCATCTTTTTTCCCATTTTTAAAAATTTATTATATATGAACCATTAACAGTTATACAAAATCTCCAGGGGTTTCAGAATATCTAATACAAATGCCTATAATATTAGTTTTAACAAAAAAGAAAAATAGATCATACTGGCTTCCATTTATTGTTATAATCATGTGTTAGATGTAGAGTACATATAATACTAAAGATATAGAAAAGATTTGTTATGCCACTAAGAAAAAAATCACATATGTTCACATTTAAGTGACTGGCTATAGTCTTACGGTTTGAGGGTTTTCTGGTGTCTTGCTTTCGTTCTTTGAGACAGTCTCACTGTAGTTCATATTGGCCTTGAACTCACCATGTAGCCCAGGTTGGCCTTGAACTTGTGTTGAGCCTCCTGCCTTACCCTCCCAAATGCTGGGATTTCAGGGATGTTCCACCATGCCTGGCTCTGTACACTTAGGTTGTTTAAACATATCTTCCTGTTTTGTGTACAATGGGAAAAAATGTGATTACAAAGAAATTTCTGAAATGCAAACTATCTGCTTTCCGATGTTACCTCCTGTCATCATGGATTGGAATGCAGCTCCCATGTTTTCCAATCCATTTATCACAGTTTCCTTGATCTTTAGCTTTCCTTCTTTAAACCACTGACTCAGCTGTAGAATGCCAGGTTCAAATTTATCCTTATAATTTAATACCATAAATCTCTCCCTCGTGATGTTCCTGGCCTTCTGGACTGCCTCTACAGCGGGCGGGAGCGGGGGAGGGTAAGGCACATCTTTGTTGTACTGAGAAATCTGACCACACAGGATGATGTGGCTGTTCTGATTCATCTGGCTTATCACTGTATCGCTGATACCACCGCCAACGTTGTCAAAGTAAACATCTACTCCAGCTGGGCATGATTCTCGAAGCTGTTCTGCCACGTTCCCTTTCTTATAATTAACTGCAGCATCAAAGCCCAGTTCAGAAGTCAAAAAGAGGCACTTCTCGTGTGTTCCACATATTCCCACCACTCTGGAACAGCCCAGCAAACGGCCAATCTGCCCAGCCAAGGATCCACAGGCACCTGCTGCTCCACTGACAACCATTGTCTGATTAGATCCGGCAACTATATGACCTTTTTCCTGTATCCCAATCAAAGAAGTCAAACCAGGCATCCCTATAGCTCCAAGAAAATATGAAAGGTGTCCATCCACAAGTTGTGGGTCTACCTTTTCAAGGCTATTTCCATCCAGAATAGCTCTGGTTTGCCAAGGCCAATAGAAGGAAGTAACAAAGTCACCTTTCGTCAAATTAGTATGCCTGCTTTCTTCTACAACTCCAATACCACCACCATCGGCCACCTGAGACAGCTGCCAAGGTGCTAGGTAATCAGTACCTGTGTCGTCATTCATCTTACAACGCATGTAAGGATCCACAGAAAGATAAAGAGTTCTAACTTGAACTTGCCCTTCATTGATATTATCTGGCAAAGGGATTTCTTCTATTCAGAAATTCTCTGCCACTGGATTGCCATTTTTTCCAGGTCGGGAATTCAATACCACTCTTTGTACAATCATCTCTTTGTGCAGTGGTCCCACAAGATTTTTGTATAAAATAACACCCAGCTTTGGCGCTGCAGCCGAGCCGCGGGCGACTCGCTTCACCTTCTCAGAGTCTGTGTGTTATCATCTTATGATGCTCATGTAAATATATGCAAAACTTGTTAGAGCACCATGAGTGTAAATCCCATTTTGACACTTTTGCACACACACAATCACCATGCTTTTAATTGTAACAAGTGAGTAAACACAAAGATCACTTCCTGGGTTCCTCAGGGAGTGCTACTAAGATACAAAACCAGTTACTATTACACTAAAGTTAAAATGTGCAGTATAAAGTAAAGGATGTATTAGTGGTACCCAATGAGATGGCCTATTGGCTATGCTTAAATTATTGTCTAGCATTATGAAACTAGGAATGAAACCATGACTCAAAAGTAATATTTTATCAACAGAAACTTAATCCACTAGTTAGAATAAGTGCCAACTATTTTTATACTGCACTGCAAAGAATTTAGATTGTTTCATGTTTTCAAGTCCCAGAATGTCACATTCCTTCAAAGCATAAGCAAAATAAATTAATATACTTACTTTGTGATAAAATATTGTAAAATTGAAAATATCTATAGAAGTTGTACAGAGAAAAATTCATGTATACATAAAAAGTACACATCTTAAGGAAACAAAAATAAATGGTAAATGGTATTTCTACAAATTAGCTTCATACATGTCAAAGTTGCAGACTATAGTTGGGAAGCATTTTCCCTTCAAACTTCATAAAATAAAGTCTTTAAATGTAGGACATATTACACATCAATTCTTAAGAGCAACAAATCTTTGAAAAAAGAATATGTTTATTGTTTTAAAGCTAGAACATGTTTTATCAAAATAAAGAAAATAATTGGTAATTGTGGTAGAAACTGCAAGTTTTCTAAAGTACAATATTTCAAAAGATGTTTTCAAGACTAGAGGTTACTTTTTAATAAGCTGAGATAAAATGTATTTTATTATATAACAAAACAATCTCACCTGTAATATGTCTGGTTTCAGGAATGAAACTAAAGTTCTTTAGAGAACTAAAGCATCATAATGAAACATAAATATAAGTAAGATTTAAAGTAATTTGAAAAGTTAACTATATTACTGATTTCAGACTGTTTTTAATAGGATAAAACATGAAATGAGGTTTTATTATGTCTGTAATTCACCCTTTAGAAATCCAGTAGAACAAAACAATAATGATATTAATTTTTCCACATTAGACTATGACCTTAAACATGTTAAAGAGTGAAAAGAAAGGAAATCCCACTGATGCTTGCACTGGGTTTTCATTTTATGGACATTGGTACTTTGGTATCACATCATTCACATGTGCAGAAATTGCCCCTTTCACTTGTCTATGGATAAGATTTTCTGCCTAAAGTTTATAGATGTATTGAACCATAACTTGGAGCCACGACTTTATGCCATATACTAAAACATAAATAACAATAAAAAGATGAGCAAGACCATTTCTTCCCTAAAATCTTCTTGAGAAGTAGGGACACACATTGTGAATGTACAGGCTGGTGATTTGGAAGGGCACTCTGTCTGGACTTAGTTACAGCTAGAACACAAATAAAACATGTTCCAAGAATGCCCATTCTATGTTGTGTTTCAGTGAGAGTCTTTTGTGTGTTCATGGGAAAACATGCTACAGTATTCACAATGATACTGTTTAGGAAAATAGAAAATTTAAATCATTAGTACTGGGTGCTCAGTATAAGCAACATAAAGAACCAGAAGCAAAGCAGTAGATGGTCATATGTCAAAATACTGGACCATAAAAACATAGCTTGGATTAATGGAATAAAAATGAAAAGACCAGAACAAAGTAATATAATGTAATTAAAATATACCAGCAAAGGGATATTATATGTTTCATAAGGATAATGAAGTCTGAAAGAATAGAATTTAAACATCTAGAGTGAATGAACACAAGGAAGATGGAGAATGGAAGGGCAAAATGAGAATAAAGTAGATAAATAAACAAATGAAAGAAAGAAATAAAAGAAAAGATAAAAGGAAAAAAAGAAAAAAAAAAGAAAAGAAAAGAAAAAATGCTCCAAAGATGTCCATTCACTGGAAGATGCTGGTGCTGATACATGAACTACTTGAAATGAAGAATCTTTCTATTTATAGTGTAAATATAACCCTGAAATAAAGACACTTATGGGTTGGGGGGGTCTGACCATAGGGATTCTAGATATTTTGAAAATGTTTTGCCACCCGATGGCAAAAATTGCTAGACTTAAAAATTCAATTTACCAGTTGAATTTACAAGAAAAAGGAAAGTGGTAAACACTGAATGAAGAAAGGACAACTGATATGATGTATATGACTGATACTGACCTTAATTGAGAAGCATTTTTCACAGCAAAAGTTTCCATTTTGCTTTTTTAAATTTCCCTCATGGATAATGAAGTAAGACTTTGGACTGCCCAGAGCTCCAGTGTTGGAGCTCAAAAACCATATAAATCCTCAAAAGATAGAGATCTTTGACTAATGAGCACTAGAAAAATTCTATCCATCATCAGATAAAAAAGGTGTAGCCAGGATCCTATGTGTGTGTGTGAGTAGGTGTGCCTGCATGGTACAGAAATTTCAAGTGAAAATGTTACTTTAAAGTATCGTTTACTTTGTCATCCCTGGAATGCCTATCAAAAATAAACATACATTCTGGAAGGCTTTTCCTCAATTTACACTCCTCCAAATATTATTAGATTGGAGTTACTTACACACAGCAAAATTAAAGTCATATAGAGAAACAAGGTGAGAGATATAAAGGATATAATTTTTTTCATATAAAAAAAGAATCACACTCCCTTAAGTTTCATATTTTAGAGTAAGTAAATAAATAATACAAAATGACCATAGGCAAAATGATTTATAAGATAATAGGCTCAAAATGAAAATCAACAAATAAGTCCATAAAGATGAATAAGTGGTACTACTGGAAAATATGAAATATAATTCATAGAAATTAAAAATATATATAGTAATGGAAATTGAACATGGAAGCAATGTTTTACACAGAAGATGAGAGGTACTTGGACAAAAAATTTGTCAAAAGGCAGACTGATCAAAAGAAATCAAATGAAATACAGAAATAAAAGAGATGAAAAATAAAAAAAGACATTTGAAGGTGCAGAAATAAGAATAATTATTCAAAGACATAGCTAATTAGATTTCCAAAGGAAAAATAGTATAGAAAGAAAATAACAACCGATGTGATATGGTCTTCTTCCAAATTTATGAAATACAGGAGTTACCAGATTCAAGAAGTACAAAAGAAACTGTAAAGGAAGAATAAAATGATTCACCTTGAGGTATATTATGCTAAAATTTTGAAAAACCAAAGAAACTAAAAAAATTTTAAGTTAGTCACAAGAGGTTAAAAAAATAAATAATTTAACAAGGAAGAACAGTTAAACTAGATATTGACTTTCTCATAGTAATAATAAAAATCATTAGAAATGGAAATAATGTCTGAGGAAAAATTGGTATCTACATAAAATTCTAACCGTTTAAAATTACCAGTGTGAGGGCCGGCGAGATAGCTAGCAGACTAAGCACTTGCTTTGATAAGCGCAAGGGCCAGGGTTAGATCCCTGGCACGGCATGCCGCACTGGCCCTGTCCCGGGGGTGTGGAGCCTGCAATGGAGTCTGGGCGTGCGGTGGCGCATGCCTGTAATTCCAGCACTGGGGAGCCAGAAATCAGGAGGATCACTGCGAGTCTGAGCTGTGTAGTGAGACCGTGCACAAAAATAAATAAGTAAATAAAATAATCAGTGCAGAACATGGTGAAATGGACATTTTCTGACAAAGATTTGCCAAAAACTAAAAACTAATTGAATAAATTCTCAAGGTAGTAGTTAAAGAAAAGGGGAAATATTATGGGATGATGGTGTGGGACAGAAGAAGGAACGATGAATTAATAGAAATATGCATCCCATTATACAAAAATATTGGATGTGTAAAGGATAATTTTAATTTACTTTGCAATATTGATTATCAAAGATAGACAAAATGAAGCTGGGATTCCCGGAATTAGTGTTCTGAAATACGTATGTTCATTGGAAATGGAGAAATGTGAACATTAGATTTTTCAAGTGGATTTTAAGTATTAGAACCTTAATACATATGAATAAAATGTAGAATTTCAATAATATGGGCCAAAAATAAAATGATAATTTTAGGGCCAGCCAAATAGCCCAGCTGATTAAAGTGCCCGCAAGAAGGTGCGGGGGCCAAGATTCCATCCCCGGGCCTGCCCTGCCAACCCGCCCCTGGGGGCGCACTGAGATGGCCATTGAGACTGGGCATGATGGTGCGCACCTGTGATCCCAGCTCTTGGAAGGATGAAACAGGCGGATCACTGTGAGTCTGATTTAGTAGTGAGACCCTGAACACCCAGTGGACCTTTCCCTAAAAAAATGAAAAAAAAGATAATTTTTTAAAATATAAGAAAATCGGTATGATGGTAGATGTCTGTAACTCCAGGGAGGCTGTGGCAGGAAGAATCCACGTCTGGACTCAGCCTGGACAATTTAGTGTTACTGTGCATAAAGAAGAAACAAAACAAAGAAAAAAACAGAACAGGATGAGGGTTTTGGCTCTGCATCAATAAGTAAATATTAATAAAGTTGAATAAAATATGCATAGGAACATAGAGGACATAAGAAGTAGGAAAATGGCAAACAATTCTAAATATATTAATCACATTAACACAACATGACTAAACTTATCAGTGAAAAGACAATTTTTAGAGTGCACATGCAAAACAATATTCATTTTAGTGTGGATTTTATTATGCATAAACAAAATAATTTGGAAAATATTGAGTTAAACGAATGGAAATAAACAAAAAACTAATCAAAGATATAGAAACTTAATCATAATTACTTTAGCATAGTGTGTAAATGAAAAAGGCCATGAGAAATAAAGTAAGGAAGTATAAAATGATTTAAATTTGATTACTAGACACATTGAAGGACATTGTCTTACATAAGTACAATATGATTCACAAAATCAGAACATTAGCAATGGT